AGTATGCATTACCAAAGTCACTCAGTGTGGCTCGCTTAGCTGTCAATGTCATGGGAACTTTGCTAACAGGTGTGTAGCCAACCAACCAACATCAATGACAAAACTTCTAACATAAAAAAGTATGTTAGTGACACTATGTTTTCTCCATCACTAATTTATGCCACCTTTTGAAAATTTTATTACAAATGTGATTTATAGTGTAGAGGAGATGAATAGGCAGGCAAAACATATCTTTCATTTTGTGAATGACTTTATATCAATTTATCATAAATAATAAGCTTCCCGCATTTTATAAATGGAAATTAAATCTCTGAATGTAATTATGTTAATAGAAAGAAGGCAAAACATATCTTTCATTTCGTGAATGACTTTATATCAATTTATCATAAATAATAAGCTTCCCACATTTTATAAATGGAAATTAAATCTCTGAATGTAATTATGTTAATAGAAAAGAAGTTACAATTTATTACAAATGCTTAGAGTTCCAGAATAATATAATCATATGTATAAATAAGTATATTAGTTGTTTCTTTGGGTTCTAAAACATACCCTAACATTTTAACCACCTTCTGGTTTGTAGAGTAAAATGGTGTGAAAATTAACTACTTTAAAAGATATGAACTGTAATTCAGTCTTTTAAAGTAATGGCTTAGTTTCATATTCTTTCTCAGGGCTTCCATAATACCCTGTTCATTTTTCTATTCATTGTATTCAATTCGCAAAATAATTATTTGTAGTGGTTAAGAGCTTCAGCTGCTTGAGTTCAATCCCAACTCCATCACTAACTAGCTGTGTGGCCTTGAACAAGTTTCTTAATCTAAGTTTTATTTAAGAGTTTTCTCATTCATAAGATTGTGAGAATTAAATGAAATAATGCAAGTGACATACTTAACACAGTGCTTGGGCATAGAATTTATGTTGGATGATGGCTGATAACTAGATTTTTAAAAAAAATTTATTTATCTTTATTATGGTGACATTGGTTAATGAAATCCAGGAAGTTTTAGGTATACAATTCAACAGTAAGGCATATACATATTGCGTTGTGTGATCACTGCCCATAGTTAGATTTCTTTCTGTCACCACATATTTGATGACCCCTTTTAAAGATGGGCTGACCATGTCGTAGAAAACTGAGTATCCTCAGCACAGAGCATGGTGCTTATTGTATTGTATGGGCTGTGTATGTTGAATTATATGTAAATTCAAAAATTCTGTTTCATTCTTTCCAACAGTTTTAACACAGGCTAAGCGATACGCTTTTTTCATGCCAACTCTGCCAAGTTTGGTCGCTTTTTGTCGAGCATTTCCTCCACTGTATGAAGATATTATGTCTTTGCTGATCCAAATAGGGCAAGTCTGTGCTTCCGATGTTGCCACTCAGACAAGAGATATTGATCCAATTATTACACGTAAGTAGTAACTTATTTTTAAGACTTATTTAATATCTCAAACATAAAAACCAAAATCCTTTCTAGATTTCTTGCCTTAATTTTTTTTCCTTATATTTTTAGGTCTTCAACAAATAAAGGAGAAACCAAGTGGATGGACTGGAATCTGTAAAGATCCATCTTATAAGAATGGATCCAGGGACACTGGAAGCATGGATCCTGATGTACAGCTCTGTTATTGTATTGAAAGCACAGTAATTGAAATAATAAACATGAGTGTTAGTGGAATTTAAAAAAAAGTACTTAAAATAATGAAACTGTTTGCTGCATACACCCAACATGAGTCTGCATCTTATAATGACTCTAAACTGAATGGGAACAGTAACATCTTGGAATCACTAAAGTGATTCAGTTTAACATGAATACAATTTAGAACTCTCTTGAGAATCATGCTTGCTGATATTTGACTGGCAGTTCTTTGGATCAACTTTGCTAGTATGTTTATGCTGTAGCAGCTGAGCTTTTTTTCTATTGGGAACACATTTCAGAAACTCATTACTGGAAAGTGAATTTGGCTTTTTATTTAGCTTTAAGTGAAGAAAAACTGCCATGCCTTTAATTTAATTTCTTATAAAAATGAATTTGTGGGTAGCCCTAGTGTTTACTTTCATTGTCATCTAGTAATAGAGTGTGACAATGATGCAATGATGAGAGGGAGAAAAAGGGAGAATTCAAGAAAAATTAGGAATTTTAATATCCAAATAGAAATCTCAAACTTGCAATGCAAGTAATATTGATGTAAGATGGAATTCTAGTTCTCAAGAAACAGTACTAGAACCGAGAAGGCTTTAAAAAAGTCAAATAGCTTTTTGTAAATGATTTCTGTGGAATTACAAATGAAGATTTTAAGATTTGTACATATTTGCTTCAATTTTTATTGATACATGAAGCCATATGTTTAGAGATACTTAAATAATTTAGAATTTTAAGATGCTGATTTGAAAGTGTTTCTAGAAACATCTTTGTGCAGAGAAGAACCTGGAAGGAGGGTCTCATTTAGTTTTTTTAAAATTTATTTTTATAATCCTTTACTAATTTATCTAATGGTCAGAAATACATTGGTATCTAAAGTTTAGAGCAATAAAACCCATTGAATTAAAGAGCTCTTAAGTTTAGCATCAGGATTATAATTCATATAATTTAAGAAGATCTTTGAGTAAGAAAATATATAGTGTTTCGACCTCAGGAAAATTAAAAAGCAGAAAATACCATTTTGCTGAAGGATTTTGCAGTCCTCTGTTAGTAACTTCCATTGATTAGGTAGATGCATTCAGGTAATCTACAATCATTTTTTTTTTTTTAAGACTCCAACATAGAAAGTACTTTGCTTTCTGTGATATTCCAGAACGACACCCACCTCCCGCCCCCACTTGAAACAGACCTCTTCATTTGTAAAAGAAATTAGGCAGGCGTGGTTTATAAGAAAAGAAATTTAGCTTCGGCCTTTTTACTAGCAAATAGTCACATCTCATTTTTTCTCCTTTGTAAAATGAGATTACTACTGGCCCTACCTCATAAGGGTATTATGTAAAAACTAATTCGTCGCTGTTTAAAATCATGAAGTGTGCAGTATCATAGATGATAGATGCTTAATGTTCAATTAAGTAATATTGTGAAAAATAAAAGCATATACTTAAAAAATACCATACGAATTTTCATATTTTTAAACAAGGCAGTTTTGTAGTCTTTTAAGATTGAATGCAACTGCTCCTGTTCTGTTTTGTTTTTGAACTGGGGCTTTGGAATATTTTGTGTGATTAGGTAACCTCTAGGAGTTCAGAAAAGGTTGAAATATGTTTTCTAACTAAATGCAGTGCACATTCTTGGATCAATTTTCAAATGCTGGTCAAAACCTGCTGTGTTAATAACATTTGCTGTTTTTCATCAGATCTGTTGATGATGTAAATAAAATGTGTAAATATATTAGTAAATGTTAATATTCATGTATTTTAAGTTAAGGTTATAAAATTTGTCACAATGTGATTTTTTTATTCAAGTGAAAACAGATGTGTGCAGCTATTTTGAATATTGGTTTATAAACATTCATATTCTTTATCAAATGAACTTGTAGTTTTTTGTTTCATTTCACTACTGTTAACCTGAAAGGAACAGTCCAGGAGACTGGAATCCAGGATTGTCTGTCTCCAGAGCCAAGGTGGATCTTTTTCTGTTAGGCCACATACATCAAATGGCAATACAAAGTTAGAGTCAATTGAGAGCCTTAGAAATCTGGGAGAGAAAAATCAATAGATATGATGGAGCAGCTACTTAAAAGATTGGATATTTTAAAAGTTTGTAAAAGAACAATTTGAAGGTATTTTTAAGGATTTATTTTTATAAATTATCCTTTATTCCACTGCTTTGACAGTAAGTTACATTTCTGTACCTTCCCTTCATCTTTGCTCATACGTACATATTTTCATGTAACAATTCATAATCCCAGTTTGGAGTCTGCTTTTTTAAAATTTAACTTTATATGGAACTTGTTTGCAGGTTCTTTAGTTTTTATAATTATTTTATTGGCTTCATAATGATTTAGTTGATATAACCATCTCCCTATTCCTAAGCTGGGAAATTTTTGATTTTTTTTCAGTATTACAATAGACACTTATGAATTGAGGTATTATTACTTTTTCTTAAAGATTTCTTCTTTAGGATAATTTCTGAGCCTAAAATTACTAAATTAAAGGGTAGAATTTATTTTTATGGCTGTGTTTTATCACTTGGAAAAGATGTAAAGTCAAAAGTGAGGCAAACAAATCGACTCTACCCCTGCTGTTCACTCCTGCAGCAAATCTCTCTCCCCAGAGTAGTTTCTACAATTTGAGAAAGTCAAGTTTTCCTTTTTTGGGACACTAATATTTGAGCCAAGTTCAGGCTATACAGAATTTTTTTTTAAAACAACAATTTGGCAAGATCACGATTAACCTATCTTCGAAGAAACTGAAGTGTACATCTCGGCAAAAAAGAATAAACTGACTTTAGGAGGGATGAGCCTTAAAAGAGGTAGGAGGAAGTGCTCTGGTGCTGGCGACTTCATGAGCGTTTCTTTGGTTGAATTTAGTATCTGAGAAAGCCTTGATTATTGAGATAATGTAGCCAGTTAACGAACCTTTTCGCTTAGTTTGGCTCAGCAGTCTTGCAATTCCCCGGCTACTTTTCAAAACCCCGGCTACTCTATAGTTCAGAAATAAGAATCGAGCGGCATTGAATGCTCAGAGAAGAACTCGGCAAGGCTTAAAGGTGTTTCCATTGGTCTACAGACCGTAATAAAACTGGTGCACAGGTTAAATCGCCGGTTTCAAAAAATCAAAAGGAGAAGACTCTTTTCCTTTATATACCTGGGTTTTGCGGCACGCGTCATTCACTCTTCTGGCGTTCGCCTTCCGGTGCCTTCAATTACCTTGGGTCTATTTTTATTGTGGAGGTTTCCATTGGGTGCCAGAGTGCTCGTCCTCTAATCTCGCCCCGCGATTGGTGCTTGTTTCTGGCCTTGGCGTGTGATTGGTTGTCTGAGCTCGTCCGCCGATTGGGTGCCGGGAGCCAAGGGGGTGGGAGGCGGGAATTCGTCCGGGAGAGTGGTGATGCGAAGTCTGTCGAGAACTGGAGGAGAGCAAAAGTACAGTGGCACGGAACCCGCGACCAGGCCAGGGGAATAGCAGCCTGTGGAGAAAAAGAAGCTTGGGACCTTTCTTCGGTGCCAAGGCTCCGCTTTATTTGCTCGCCGATATCAGTTTCCTTTTCCCGTGAATCGGAGCCCGGTTAGCGTTGCTTCGGCTTTCTTCAGACCAGGCAAGTCTGTCTCCTGTGGGGAGGGCGCAAAGCCTGCCAGAGAGGTGTCTTCTGCTTTCGCCCGGCAGCCTGGCAGGCTCAGCGGCATTGACTGATCACAAGAGCCTCGAGGATCTCAACTGGCAGAGGGAGGAAGGAAGTATGAGGAAGAAAATCTGGGGAGCGGGAGCCTGTCCTCACCTTCTTGGAGCAGAGGCCTATTAGCCCGGGTTCCCGCGTTAACTCTTGGCGGTAGGGGGCGGATCGTTGGCCGGCGGATCGTTGTTTTGTTTTGTTTTTCCTTTATTCAGTGGTTAGGGGAAGCTACCCCATTTCGAGAGGCTTGTTGGCACAATTGGGGCGAGGGATGGATTGATTTCTAGGTGATATCTGAGTAACTAAGCCAGCGTTGAATTGTTTCAGATTAAGGGGTTAGATTCCAAGTCTCATTCTCAGAGCTTCACAGATCGCAAAATATTAAACTGGCAAAAAGGTTAGATTAGTGGTTCTTAACTTCTTTTAGAACACATAGCTATGGTTAAATTTATTATTGGCTTCATAATCTAGTAAATTGCTATTTTAACCATTTCTCCATGCCCAGATTGAATTTACCATTTTTTTTCACTATTGCAAATAATCTCCCAGTTGATAACAGTATATATCATTTTCCCCTCTATTTCCAATTATTTCCTTGGGATATGTTTTTGGAAATGAGGAATCTATGGAGTTTCTCTTTAGAGAAAATTCAGTTATGCACAGAAACTTTTGCATGTAATATTAAGAGATCACAGCCTCTGAATTACATCTGTGGACCCTAGGTTAAGAAGAACTGGTTTAGAAGACTCAGGGATTAAAACAGATCACTTCCTCTGTGTCAGATACTGGAGTTTAGGCACAGTCTGTACATTACCTTATTTTTAACTCAGTGCTTGGCTAATTTTCATAAAAACCCTATTAGGTAGATAGTATTATCTCAATTTCACAGGTGAAGAAACAGGCTCTGAGAGGTTAAGTGATTCACACAGTGGAATTCAGATTTAAGTTTGCCTTAATCCAAAGCCCACTTCTTTCTATTATACCCTGCTTACCTTTAAATAAGAATTACTGAGCTCCTACTATATGCCAAGGAGTTTTCTCCCTTACGACAGTTTTAAAATTAAGAATCCTTACAGAATAAGATTTAAGTCTAGAGAAGTAAAGACATGATCAAGGTAACATCAGAGTTGTTGTCACAACCTGATCTAGAACCTGTACTTCCCAACTCCACAGCTTTGACAGAATAGGATTACAAATCCAGATTTGTCAGATTCCAAGACATGCTCTCAACCACTGTGATTTATAAGACTAGAAAATTCTTTTACTTCCATTTATTTTGTTTATATGTTTTTTCCAGTTTTTATTTTCAGACTTCTGTCCTAGTGTTGGAATATCATTTCTTTGAATGACATTGTTTTAATATTGATTTTTGTTTGTGTTGCAGTTAGGAGTCTGAAGAAAGTGTGATGTCTTCAATGTGGTCTGAATACACAATTGGTGGGGTGAAGATTAACTTTCCTTGTAAAGCTTATCCATCACAGCTTGCTATGATGAATTCTGTAAGTATTTTCCAGCAGTTATTTTAAGTCTATCAAGATACAGATGCTTATAATTCATAACATACATTGAGTCTGTGACTAAATTCATTTTCTCAGACAGTAAATGGATTTGCTATCATCGAAGAACAACTAACCTTTGGAAAAATAATACCAATCACTGCTAAACTGTATATGTCCATGGTTAGGAGGCAAAGAAGAATATTCTGAAAAATGTTCTCAGTTCATTTGGAACTTCTGTTTACTTCACAGAATTATTGCTTTCTATGAAGCATTTACTGTCTTTCACACAGAATAGTCTGTTTTCCAGCTAATTTTTTTGAGATAATCAGATAGAAAATTAATATACAAACTTGAATAAACTGACTTTCTAGCTTTGTTATATCTTAATATTTTGCCATATTTGCTTTATACATTGTTTACAATTCACAAGATTACTAGTATCCTGGATTTGTTCTTTTCTAGCCTTGTTTTTAAATGTTTATTACATCTTTATCCATATACAATATAAAGTATTACTTTACAGTTTTGAACTTTGTACAGCGATATGGTACTATACCTATTTTTTTTAGAACTTGATTTTTTTTTGCTTAATATTATTTTTAAGATGTAGCCCTATTGATTGTTAATCCATTTTAATTGCTTTATAGTATTCTATTATGTGAGTATACCAGATTTTTTTTGTCCATTTTCCTTTTGATAGACATTTAGGTTGTTTTCATTCTTTTACAATTATAAACAACGCTGCTATGAACTTTCTTAAACCAGTTTTCTCTGTGTGGAAAAAGTTTTGAGTATATACATAGAACTGGACTTAACTGGAGTTGAGTATCTTTAACTTTACTAGAAATCATTAATTTCTGTACAAAGTGGTTGTAACAATTTATAGTCCCATAGTAGTGTCCCCCATTAAGCTTTCATCAAAGATATTAGTGTATTCTAGTTTTAGAAATGATGGTGCTTACCTAATTAAGGAACAGGTTGCATTTTTTCATTTCTTTTGTGCTTGATATGCTTTAAAATTCAACATAATTTTAAGGAGATGTCTTAAGGAATAAAGTTTAGATTTAACTAATACTAACTAGTTCTCTCTTCTGCTGTTGCTGTGTTCTCTGAAGGGCAACCTTGTTTCTCATTGTTGTTATCATTGTACTTGTAATGAAGAGAGACCCTAATGAAGTAAATTATTTGTTGATTTTTTCTATTTATTGTCTTTGTGTCGGTAGATTGTCAGAGGATTAAACAATAAGCAGCATTGTTTGTTGGAGAGCCCTACAGGAAGTGGAAAAAGTTTAGCCTTACTTTGTTCTGCTTTAGCATGGCAACAATCCCTTAGTGGTAAGTCCTTGGTTGCTATCTTTAGGTTGCTTATTGGAACCTGAAAGTACCTTTTATCCAGAATGATTTATCCATATGCTAGCTAATTTAAGTATTCTCTTTTAAGACACTTCTTTATAATGTTATATAACTTCCAAAAGAGTTTCAATATAGCAAAATATGTTCAATTAATCCTAAAACAATTTTGAATGTAATGTGATCCTTTACTTGATTCAGAGTATACATAATAATTTTGGAATGCTTAGTTATGAAAATAATTATGATAGTTTGTATGTTAAAGATGCAAGAAATGGGACTGTCATGATGCTATAACATATAGGAATGATTTTTTTTTTAGTAAAGCCTTTAATATATTTGCTTATCTATCTCTCATAATATTAAAATATTGAATATATAGAAAAGAAAACATTCTAGTTGATCTTTCTACTTGCTTGGATTCTAGATAAATAGAATTTATTATAATATTGTTTTTGATTTTGAACCTACTTTCTTGCGTATTGAAATGAAATGTATTGGGGTAATATTGGTTAATAACTTTATATAAAGTTTCGGGTGTACAATTCTATAATACAGCTTCTGTATATTGCATTGTATGCTCACCACTCAAAGTCTAATGTCCTTCTGTCACGATATGTTTGACCCCCTTTATTCTCATCATTTTCCTCCTATCCATCTTCCCCTCTGGTAACAATATACTATTGTTTGTATCTATGAGTTTGTTCTTTTTGTTTGTTCATTTTTTGCTTTATGTTTTATATCTCGCATATGAGTGAAATCATATGGTTCTTGTCCTTTTCTGTCTGACTTATTTCACTTAACATGATACTTTCAAGCTCCATCTATGTTGTTGCAAATATTTCAACCTTTTTTATAGTTGAGTAGTATTCTGTTGTATAAATATACGATATTTTCTTTATCCAATCATCCCTTGAAGGATATTTAGGTTGTTTCCATGTCTTGGCTACTGTGAATAATGCCATAATGAACATATGGGTACATACATTTTTATGAATAAACGTTTTCAAATTTTTTGTGTCAATAACCAAAAGAAAGATTACTAGATCATATGGTAGCTGTACTCTTAATATTTTGAGGAAGCTTCATACTGTTTTCCATAGTAGCTGCACCAATTTACATTCCTACCAGCAGTATTTGACGGTTCCTTTTTCTTGTCTTATTGTTAATAGCCATTCTAACGGGTATGAGATTATAGTAATATTGTTTTTATGAATTTATATTATTTCCCATTCTTTTATTGGATTTTCTAACAAGTGCCTAGTAACATTTACTTTTATGATAGACGATCTAGTATACATAATGAATCTAAAATACAATATTGGATACATTTTATTTACCTAATTAGATGGCTTTGACCTGAAGCATTAGGATAATTTAAAGTTAAGTATGTTTGTGTGTATGTCTGTGTTTATATGTGTGTATATTTATATACTATTTTTTAAAAGAAAATGTCTGTGCTACTGATAAGATTGTATTAAAAATAAAAAGTACATATTTTATAAACTTGGTTGTCTAGTTTTATTCTTACTGATGTTAATCTTTGGGGAGAAAATGAAATTATCTGTTAATAACTTAAAATGTTAATGGGAGACCCTGGAAAATAGAATTAGTAGTATTAATATAGTACATATGGGAAAATAATGTTAGTACTGCTTATAGAAAATAAAAGTAAATTACTCAGCTTTTTTTTTAGTATCTGTGAGTTGTATATTTATACAGTTAGGAACACAATATAGACATATTACAATTCTGTATTTAAATATTAAAGTTACCTGTTATATTTAATTTGAATGTTGACTGTGAAATGTATTTTGATATATGTGTCAGAATTGATACATCATGAAACATGTGTCTCTTTGAAATAGACATATGTGGAATAATTTAATCCTTACGTGTTTACATTATTGTTTAACATTGAACTTTCAAATTCTTCATTTAGGGAAATAGTAATAATCAGGAATATCATTTAGGTCTTTGTTTTAATCCTCCTGCTGGATATTTTAATAAATCTCAATATGAATGAATACTTGAGTGGTTGTGTCTTTATTACATTAATTTTTTGACAATTAGATTTTTAAAAATTATGTAATTGATAACTTCTCTATAAAGATTTCTGGCATAAGTGTTTCCCTCTTGTCCTAATTTGATGCTGCAGATAAGGTGACCAGCTTTTTCAGATTTACGAGATATTTTCATGGTTTCATCACTAAAAATCTTGCATCCTGGAATACCTCCCAATCCTGGGCGAATTTGGGTGGTCGCTCACCCTAGCTGCAGAGGAAAATTAATGTTTTTTAAATTAGAAATATTATAAATAGATCTTCTTTTATTTTTAGGGAAGCCAGTGGATGACAGCTTAAGTAAAAAAGCTGAAGTACCATTGTCATGTTGTTGTACATGCCATTCAAAGAACTTTACAAACGATGACATGCACCAAGGAACTTCACCTCATTTCAATAGTCCAAGTACACCACCTTCTGAAAGACATGGCACTTCATCACCTTGTCAAGGTACTTTATATTATACCTAGGTCTGTTGGTATCTGTAATAGGAGTCTCACTTATTGTTATGAGACCTAATTTAGATAAATTTCGTTAGTCTAATTGATTATGCACCTCTACCTATTTTCTCTGGAAGTATTTTTAGATAATACATAGAGTGATTAGAAATCCTTGGACTATTTTTGTCTTGACTTTTAGTTTATTCAGATATTTTGCTAGCTTAAATCATTTTTTGAAGAAGGCAGGGCAAAATAAATGATATGCAGAAATTGATGTTATTTGTAGGCAGTATTGTTAATTATATGTTAGGATTTTGTAAAATATTGATTTGTATTCTAAAATAAAATCTATTTAGCCTTATTCACTCTCGATGAGTTTGCCTGAAATTCTGAGGCTAGTATTTCACATGAGTATCAGGTATATTTACGTGTAAGCCTTGAATAGTTCTTATTAGATTTATTTAACAGAACTATTTTAAGAATAAGATAAAATATTCTTAAAAAATATTTCTTTGGCTTTGATTATATGGAAATAATTGACCATTATTTACCTAAGCCAGAAACCTAGATGATATCCTGTGCACATTGCTCTTCCGTATTACTCCTTGTAAATCTATCTCCATTGATACCTCCTTAGTCTAAACTACCATCTCTTATTTAGAGCATGCCATAACTTCTTTTCCTGCTTTTATTCATGTTACTCCGTAACTAATTACTGGCAGAGAGAAAAGAGGTTGCCATGATTGACTTAAGTCTACATAGTATCCACTTCCTAAAATCAAAGATGGACTCATCTTCCTCTAAAACGTGTGACTGCGTGTGGAGAAGGGTAGCTGCTTGAACTAAAGTGTGAAATCTGTTAGGAATGAGGAAGAGGAGGTGGAATAGATGCTGGAGAGATGACCAATAGTGTTTTGACCCTTAGCCCTTTTGGCTTTCTTTTCTTTTCTTCAAAGGGTCATGCTTTTTTTCTTCCTCCAGCCTTTGTTTGTGGTAGTCTCTTCTGAGGAAAATTCCGTCTTCAGCTTGTTATCTTGTTCTTCCTTTAGTTCTCAGCTTAATGTCACTTCTTTGAGGGAGCTGTGCTGACCTTTCCATCAGACTAAATTTGGTTTTCCTATTATATTCTGTCGTCTTACTTTGTACTTCTCCATCATAGCACTTGTCACAGTTTATATTATCCATGTATCTATGTGCATCTTTTCTTAATCTCTGCTTTCTCTAGCAGTCCATATTCTCCATGAGGTCAGGGACCATGTCAGTTCACTTACCATTGTATCCATAGAGCCTAGCAGAGTGCTTGGCATATAGTTGCTAGATAAGTATTTGTGTATGACTGAATGGAACTGATTTTGAGCTAATTATAAAAACTATTTTATAATATTTATATATAACTTGTATTTTTTTTTTTAAAAGAGCTTTATTGAAATATGCTTAACAAACTGTTATTTAAATGGTACACTTTGATAAGTTTTGACATAGGTGTACCTCCATGAAACTTTCACCTGCATCAAGATAGTGAACATATCCATCATCTTTAAAAGTTTCCTCATGGCCCCTTGTTATGGCTCCTTTCCTACCCGTCCATGACTCATCCTCCCCAAACAAACTTTGTCACTTACTTTGTCTAGCTTCTTTCACTTAATTCCTTTGAAATTTATCCATCTTGTTGCATGTATTAACAGTTTGTTCCTTTTTATTTCTGAGTAATATTCTGTTGTATGGATATGTTTACAAACTGTTTATCTAGGAACTTATTGATGTATATTTGAGTTGTTTCTAGTTTTGGGCTATTACAAATAAAGCCGCTATTAACATTTTTTGTTAGGGATATATGCTTTCACTTTTCTGGGTGATTATCTAGGAGTGGAATGATTGGATCACTTATGTTTAACTTTTTAAGAAACTTCCAGCTATTTTCCCAAGTGTTATACCATTTCACATTCCCACCAGCACTGTCTGAGAGTTCCCATTTCTCTCCATCCTTTCCAACATTTGGTATGGTCGGTCTTTTCAGCCATTCTAATAGGCAGGTGATGGTACCTCACTGTGGTTTTAATTTGCATTTCCCTAATGATTTATGATGTTGAGCAGCTTTTCATGTGCTTATTAATTAGCCATCTATATATCTTCTTTGATGAAATATCTGTTCATCAAATCTTTTGCCTGTTTTTATTAAGATTTGAGAGTTCTTTATATATTTTGAGTACAATTTTTTTTTATCAAATATTGTTTTAGATTTTACTTTTAAGTCTAAGATGCATTTTGAGTTAATTTTTGTATGTGGTGCAAGGTGTATGGATCTATTTTCATTTATTTTGCATATGGATATCTAAGTATTCAGCACCATTTATTGAAAAGCTGTCCTTTGTCCAGTGCATTGCCTTTGTGCCTTTGTAAAAAAAATCAGTTGTTTAACAATAAAAATCAGTTGTTAATATATACACAACTTGCATTTTAACAGTATTGTGAGTTAGAGTAGAGTCTTTTGAACAATCAGATGGGGTAAGTCAGGGTTGTATTCTAATACTCTATATTTTTAAGTAAATTCTTTAAGAAGATATACCTAAATTCAGAAAAATGCATAAATTCTAAGTGTATAGTTTTAATGAATTTTCACAAAGTAAACACACTCATGTAACTACCACTTAGATAAGAAATAGGACATAACCAACACCCCTGAGGCCCTTATTATCATCTATTCTAGTCACTGCCCTTTCTTTCCACAGGTAATTGCTATCTTCCCTTCTGTTGCTATTGATGAGTTTTGCTTTTTTATAGAAATGGAATTACATCTGTCTACTTTTGCTTAATATTATATTTCTGAGATTTCATTTGTGTTGTTGCATATAATAGTACTTGTTACTGTATATTATTTCCTTCTATGAATATACCACAATTTATTAATTCAGTTTTTAGTTGTTATACATTTGGGTGGTTTCTGCTTTTGATTATTAATGCTATTTTGGACATTCTTATTCATTCTGGTGCAAACATATATTTTCTCCTAGGAGTAGAATTGCTAGTAAGAGTATATGCATATATCCAGCTATAGTAGATACTTCCAACATTTTCCAAAGTGGTTGAACCAGATTTATGCACACCCTACCCCTACGTCCAGTAGTATATGGAAATTACATTTTTCAGCATTTTTATTAGCACTTGATATTTCCAGTCTTTAAAAATTTTTACATAGGTGTACTCGTGAGTTTTAATTGGTATTGCTCTGGTGACTAATGAAGTTGAGCATCTTTTTATATGTTTATTGGTCATTTAAATGTCCTTGTTAGTGAATTGCCTATTCAAATTGTTTGCCCATTTTTCTATTGGGTTGTTTCTTACTGATTTTTAGTTTTTTTTGTTGTTGTTTTTAATATATTCTGGATATCTCTCATTTCTTTATAACTTTGTATTTTAAAGACCGAATTTTTTTGATAAGCTTCCTGTGAACTCTCCTGCTGTAAAGAACAGGAAAAAAACTCTTTCTGTTAATCAGATAATGTAATTTCTTTTTAATGAATTGGGGGTTAATCTTTTTGGCACATGGCAATTCAGTTTTTCTGAAACTATTGTTTTTGGTAGATGTTTCCTACCCTTTAATGGGTCATACAAATTTGACTTCGATTTAGTTGGGGCAGAGTTTCTCAACAGTGGCATTATTAACATTTTGAATGGGATCATTCTTTGCGCGATTGTCCTGTGCATTATGGGATGTTTAGCAGCATCTTTTAGGCTTCAACACACAAGATGCCAGTAGTATTCCGCCTGTCCCCCACCCTCCCCACCTTCTGTGACAACCAAAAATGTCCCTAGAGATTTGTCAATGCCCCTGGTTTGGTTGGGGTGAGGGGTAGGGGTGTTAAAATATTCCCAGTTGAGAACCAAAGATCTAGAATTGTTTTGTGAGTATTTTACCAGTTTGCCATTAAGTTGCGGAATTCAAAATTATATGTCTTTCTAAAATATGTATGGAAATGCAAAGGACTAAGAATAGCCAAAATACATTTCAAGAACCAGGTCAAGGTAAGAGGCCTTGGTATATGAGATATTCTGATGTATTATATATAAAGCTATAGTAATTAAAACAGTTTGGTATTGCCACAGTGGTAGTCCAGTGGAAAACAATAGAGAACCCAAAAGAGAACCGAAATTCAGTTCCATGTGTATCCAGGAACTTGATTTTTTTTTCTTTTTTTTAATGGAAGGGCTCCTGCAGACTAGAGGGCAAAGGAGAGTATAAGTTGTATATCTCTAAGGAAAAAATTGAAATTAGAGCCCTATTTTATTCCATACACACAAGTCCGTTGCAAGTAGATTAAAGACAGGTGTGAAAGGCAAAACTTTAAGATTTTAGAATATGGTGGTTTTGAAACTACATTCCTATGAGTCTTTGGAGAAAACATGGCTTGTAGGGAGAAGGGGATAATAGATCAAAGAAATTCTAGGTCTTTCGTCTTATTTTGGAAATTATAAGCAATTTTTCTTTAAAAAGTATAGTCCTTGGAAAAAGCTTGAAAACCAGTGCATAGTCACTTCTGCTTTTCTACAGACAAACTTGTATTTTGAAAATAGAATTGGACTTGCCTATAGGGCTTTTTCCCCTAATAGTCTATAAATCCTTTAAGGATAGGGACTGTTTCTTTTTCATTGTTTTTCCATGGTCTGGAATTGTATGGATTCAATAAAATAAATGCTTGCTTGTTAAATGAGTTTAAGGGAATATATAGAGAAGAGCAGAGAGACAGGAAAGCGTTTAAGAACACTCACCTTTAGGGAAAGGGAGAAGCCAGTGTGTTGGAGCAGTTAAGAACAGTGTTGCAGACATTAAGGAAAAAGAAAATGTGCTTATTATGTTCCCAGAAGAGAGTGTTATGTTTGGCTTTATGCCTAGAGCTTATACTTAAGGATTTTGGAGTCAGACAGCAGGATTTAGTCACATCCAGGCTGGGCCTCTTACTTAACTATGACTTTGGCATGTTACTTGACTTCTTTAAAACCTAATGTTCACATTTATAAAATAAGGTTAATATTATTTGGTGATTAAGAGGTCATTGATGACCTTGAGATTGAGTTTTCGGGATTTTGTGATTAATAGATAGATTGTACCAGTTTGATTCTACTGTATTTTTAAGGCGAAAGAGCATCAAAATACTTACTAGGAAAGGAACTATTGAGACACTGTAAAGAAAGATTTTTTTTTTGAAAGAATTTTATAGAAATGAAATTTATTTTCTTGAGAGAATCTTAGTTATATTTTTAAAATTATGTTATTGGGAGTAGTCTATGAAAGTATAAACCTATTAAAAAATCAAAATTGGACTTGCTTTTTGAAAGCATATTTCTCAGTTTGCTATATCTTTGTTAAACTTAGTGATAAGTGCTTTTAAACATGTTTAGCGTTTCATGTTTTAGTATGTTATGAATTTTCAGAAATAAGTCTTACATCTTGATTCTGATTTTTTTTCCTAGAAAAATTGCCTAAGTGTAAGTTATTTATGCTAACTTTTTATGACTTCTCCTATAAGACTCTCCTGAAAAAACTACACTGGCTGCAAAACTATCTGCCAAGAAACAGGCATCCATGTACAGAAATGAAAATGATGATTTTCAGGTGGAGAAGAAAAGAATTCGACCCCTAGAAACTACACAGCAGGTAAATAGAGTGTTTATTGCCAGTGAAATGATCCCATTAGTTATAGCTGAACAAGGCCATCAGATATCTATCTAGTTTTCAGTGGCATTTGTACAAATTTGTTGTCACAGACATAAATTAAATAGTAAATTGTTGTAACTCAATTTTATGTAGTTACTAATTACAAAGGAGTTTGTTGTTATAAAAGATTATTTACAATGACGTCATTAAAGTGAAACTGCATGGTGCTTTCTTATATGTGAGGAATTTGGTAGTAAAATATTTACTTAAGGCATATGTTAATATAGCTGGTTTGTACTTTTTAACTCCTTTGTTGTTTTTGTCTCATTGGCATTTTTTTTTGGCCAAAATACCTTTGATATGAATATTTATGTCATGGATATTTTTGGTATTGATAGTTTTAGTATAATGACAAGATTTACTTATTTATTGAGTTTTTAGTATACATACATGATAAAATATGTTTAGTAAAACCTGAGTTACTAGATACTTTAACATGTACTTTTTATAGATGAAAATACAGTGTTTTCTCATAGAGTTCATGGCAGTGAGATAGGGAGGCTGGGACTTTAATAGATTTAGTTACAAATAAAGAAATGACTTAATTATTAATTAGTAAAATATGATTAATTAATGTCATTTGTACATAGTTGTATACTTTAATTGAATATATTTAAAAAGTATTCATATTATGTAGTTTATTCTACCTACAATCTTTAATAACTTCTGTAATTAAACTTTGTTTTTAGAAATAGAATGAAATAGTTTATTATTGGAAAAGCACCAGTTGAGTATGAAGTTTGAATCTATAGAGATTTTTTCCCCCAAAAAATATGTACATGGAGTTGGATGTTGTGAGGTAGGGCTCAACATATAACATTAGTTCTCTAATTTCATTGGGTCTCATTTTTTTTGGGGGGGGGGTAGGAATGGGATTATTAATATAAATGATTTTTTCCCTCTTTATGATTTAAGTGAATAGGATTTTGGCACATAGGAAAACGCATAGATAGTTTGGAAAGAAAACTTAGTGATATTTATGAAAGAAATTTAGTCAAATACAGCTTGGATTATCAAATATCTAGTAAGTAATACTAATAATAGTAATCATGTAGGAAATCATGAATATTTACATTTAAAATTTTTATTCTGAGTTTTTCAATTTAGAATGAGATTTCCATTTTTATTTACTTTTAATTTGGACTTTGCTATAATACTATACTTTGTGTTCATACAGTGGGACTATTTTATGGGAAGATCATTTTTTAATACTATAGTTTGATGTAGCACTAATTAAAGCTGTTTTGGTTAGGATTCAAGAAGAATTACTGTATTCTATTTTATTTGAGTCTTATAATAAGATGACTGTGTTTTAAAAACTTATTTATTAACCAGCTAGAAATAGTCATCTTTTTTTCATGCTGAAAACACACATAACTGTTTCGACTTTTGAGAACAACTAGCCTGCTCAAACTTGTAGTTTACATTAAACTTATTTTGTTCTGTGTTTACAGATTAGAAAACGTCATTGTTTTGAAAAGGAAGTACGCCATTTGGATACAAAAATTGCTTCAGGAAAGACCACAAAACTCAACTCTCCTTTAGGAAAGACAAACTCCTTTTCTCCACAAAAGGTATGTATTTACACCATTGTTCAGTTTAAAGAAGGATTGGAATTGCTAAATCCATTTTTGAAAAAAAAGAGGAAGAACAATATAAAGCAAAGAACAGTAGAAAACAACTCAGAAGTCCTAAGTGCTATCACATCTCTGCCACCAATGTAGGAGATGGTAAACCCTATCCCGTTTGTGCCCTGGTTTCCTCATTTATAAAATGAGAGAATTGGACTAGAAGGAGATCTGAGAGTTTTTTCTCTCTTCTACATTCTAATGTTGGTGAACTCCAGTTTCCTAAATTTTTTTAGTGTCCTTAGGGCAGCACTTTTGAAGAAGTAGCAGTCAGGCAGCATAATAGTACTACTTGCATTCATCCATCCACACTTCATCTTTCCACTTGGTAT